GAAAAACAGATTATGAATGAGTGGTATATTCCCTGAAATTTCAGAAGTTAGTGAAGAAGAAAATGAAGAGTGTAAAGAAGATGGAAATAATAAGAAGGAGGACCAAAAAATAGAGGAAGACAATGAAGAACCTAAAGAAGAAGAAAACAATGAAGAAGAACAAGAAAATAATAAAGAAAAAGAGAATAAACAAAAAGAAAAAACAATAAAAAAACCAAAAATTAAAAAACAACAAATAAATAAACGAAAATTAGCAAAGAAGTAATTAAAGGAGGAGATAAGTAAAAGAGGAAACATAAATAATTGATTGATATTAATTAAAAAAAAAAGTTAAAAAGAAATAATAAACAATGAAAGATTAATTAAAATAAATAATAATTTTAAAATTTAAATATACCCTAAAAGGTACACTAAAAACACAATGGATTAATCATATATGAATTGATATTTTAATCAGTAATATTTATTACTAATACAAATACTGAATAAATATTTATTAACTGGAGTAAATGCTGACATTATTTTTGGTTCTCTTTTTTCTTTTTCATCAACATCAGAAAATTTAGCAAAATATCTATTTTTTACTTGATTTGCTGTTCTTCCTGGTAATTTCATTTTAATCAAAGTCCATCTATTACCATATAATGCCTTTGCCTCTTTTAATATTTGGTCTTCTTTTTCAGTCCATGGAACTTTAATAATATCAGGATCAAGATGATTGCAATACCTTTCTCTACATTGTTTTCTTGTTCTGTTTGGAATACGTTGTGCAACTAAATGCCATCGTTTAGTTCCAAATTCCTCAACAGCTTGAAGTAATAGTTCATCTTCTTCTTTTTTCCATGGACGAACTATTTTGTTAGGTTTTGGAGGTATACTTTTTCCATCAAAAGTATGGATAAGAGGAATGAGTTCTTGAAATCTGTGTGTTTCGTTATCCATAGTAGAGTTTTATTGTTTTTTTTTAAGATGGTTTATTTTTCTTTACCTGCTTAGATAGTAATTATTTCTTATTAATTTCTTTTTAATTTGAAATAATATCATCTAAAACTAGGAGAAAGAATTTTTGTCTTTCTTTTCTTTCTTTCCTTTTTTTGGCATTTCTCTTCTTCTTTTTTCTTCTTTTTTTACTATTGAATTTTTATTCATAACTGCATCTTTTTTCGATTTTTTATTTTTTCTATTGTTTATAATTTCTTTTACTATTCTTCTTTGTTTTATTTGTTAAAACTACATTCCTTGGTTTGTTTTTATCTTTCTTTTCCTTTATGGTAAAACTCTTACTTTGGTTCTTTTTTATTAGTTTCTGTTATTTTTGATTTGAACATTGATATTTTTAGATGAACGATGTCTGTTTTTGGGATTCACTTTTTTATAAAATTTTAAGATTTGAGATATATAACATAAAATAAAAAGCATTAATTAGTTCTGATGCATTTGTTTATTACGAGCTTGGTCAATAATTTTTTGTTTCATTTCTTTATCAACTTTCTTAACTATGTTATTAGTCTTTTCCGAGATCCAACTTAATTCAATCTCATATGGTTTGTCTTTCCATTCACTATGACATAAATCAATAATTTCTACAAGTTTAATTAATGCCTCTTCACATGTGATTTGTGAGAAATTTATTTTTTCTAACTCATTTTTACATATTTGTTTTCCTTTACCAATTCCATTAGCAAAATATCCATATGTTGTTCCTGATGGTTCAATGTAATGAAGGGAATATCCATGTTGATCAACTCCTCCTATTAATAAACTACATCCAAATGGTCTTAATGATCCATACAATGTATAATTTTGCATATACATAGCAATCTTTTCTGCTAAT